TTGAGAAGCATCTACGTGGTTAGGAGTAGCCTGTGTATGCAAATAAACATATGGATATTAAGAGAGAATTAGCATAGATAACAATGAATTTTCCCTCGCAGATGATTGGCATTCCAAACTTTGCATCGGTAGGATTAGTTTGATTTTTCTAGCCAGTAGTTTGAAGCAGGTGAAATGTATTCATATGATATGTCTGTTGTACATAGTTTTCACAGTACTCATTTGTCATTGCAGATACTCTTTAATTCGATGCAGGTTTCTACTGTAGCAGTCATATGGGAAAATACCCTTATTCTGCATTTACTGTACTGCTTTATAAACCATCTGCTCAGATTTTTACTTGTGAGCACAATTACAATTTGGTCTACAATGGGATGATGAAGACACTGTATTTTTTTAAAGAAATACCCCTTTTAATTGGCATATTTATTTTAGAGTCTCTAAGTATTAGGTTTTGGATACATAGTGGTTAGGGAAAAGGCACATGTATGTAATTCCCCCCAAATTTTTAAAAGATGCCTATTTTTCATTAATTGTTTTTGTCTGTATGTGTTTGCAAATCTGCATACCATTTATATTACACTAAAAAAATCAAGAAAACACTTACTCTCTTAAATTATACTCTACAAAAAAGCAGATCAAAACCTATAATTTTATCTGTTGTCCCACATCCATATTTTCCATAAAAATTTTAACAAAATTTTGCTCCCTCTGAAATATCTAAAAATTTTAAAAATACTTATTTTAGCAGTGGCTTAGAATGACAGTAACCAGATGGATTACCTTTTTTGGTCCATTTTAGAACACAAATGTATTTCCAGTCTTTCTAAAAGTTCTGTCTGGAGTACAGATTAGTATTCTAAGAAATATTTTAATAAGTGGTAAATCAAAATAGTGAACTATTTGAAAGGATTTTAGTCAGATGCTTTCCTTCTGCTGAGCACTGTGTTAGGCATGTGGGAGTTTAACCTGGACACAGCTCTAAGGGTCAGTCAATTGTGTAGATGAGATAAGATTAATTTATTAGAAAACAAGTAGATAGAGAACAATATAGGCAATACATAAGTATTGATTTATTTGCTTCAGAGTAAGAATTGCAAGAGTTAAAGATCACTGAGAGCTAGAGTAAAGGTGGAAGGAAATAAATGAGCTGAGCATTGAAAGATGGGGAAGACTGGGAGAAGAGTGAAAGAAGGGCCTTCTGTGCAATGGAAAGTATTTTAAATACTTAGTCATCTTTCCCCTGTCTTTCTAACTCCTGGGATTATCTTCTGACCATGTTCTGTCTTCACCCTGAGCAAGGACTGCCTGTCACTCTTGGCTGTTGGGTATTTCCCCATTCCTGCCCTTACTTCTGGTGTGTAGGACATCACTTCCAACAACCCCAGCCCACTGCGCAGGCCTGGGGTTAGGATGGATCTCTGCAGAGATATTAGCTCTAGTAACTAATTTTATATTAATATAAAATCAGGTTGCTAATGACATTTTCTAATTAATGAAAAAATAATGATTATATTGCATTTTGGAGCATTGCTTTCAATATTTTGAATTGCAAGCCTCGTGATAACAGCTGAGAAAGTAAATGAGGTAGCTCACACATCAACTTATTGCAGTACTGGTACACAACAAATGCACCATAATGGTTGTTGCTGCCACCACCACCACTGGAGCAGGGCTAAAGAGACTAGGTTCTACCCCACCCATCCTTATATGATTATATTTAATGCATAAGTTTGATACAACCAAAAAGTAAAACAGCAGAGTAAAATAGTAACAAAAAACATGGTATATCATTTGCAATGCATGAGAAATGGTTAACATCTTTAGTTATAAACAAGCTCTTAAAATCCAGTGACACTATAATAATGCAAGGAAGCTGGAAAAATGAAATGAAAACATACAAGTGATGATTAAGCAGTGAGCAGATATGATTTTGCTGAGCAGTGATGGAGAATAACTTCTCTGCAGTGTCAGTCCTTTTAAACATACCAAGAAAAAGATGGTGAGATTGTTGCTTTTGATTTTTTTCTTCTCTCTTGGTAAGGTGACCATTCATTTTTATTACATGAGGAAAACATATCTGGAAATGTCAAAGCAATTTTCCTAGTTTACCCTTATAATTCTCCCCCTCCCACCCCCTTGGGGAGGGTTTTAATTAAGAGTCATTCTTTAGTTTACTCATTAACTTAATCCTAAAGGTATATGTTTTCCTTAGATTTGTTTTATCACTATATAAAATCTTGGTTGAATTAGTTTAAATCCAAAGCTAGATAAATACCAAATAGGAATAGGAATAGGAGCAGTATTTACTTATTGGTCTCCTGCAAAGGACAAACGCTTCCTTTATTCTCCCTTGCCCCTTTGTATGCTGGGTTTCAGCCTAGAGCAAATATTTACAGAGTAATTATGTGCCCTGAAACAAGGGCAACAATGGCAATGTTGACACAACCACAACCTTAGGTCTAGGAACAGGATGGCCACAATTAAGAGTAAAATCCTGAGGGGGAAAAAAGAAAGAAAGAAAAGTAAAATTATGAAACATTTTTATGGATTATTTCTGGAAATTGGCATCCCTCTGGATTTTTTTTTTATTTTTTAAATTTAAATTTTAACAGCTGGAATTCCCTAGCTATGTGCTTTTATTCTTAGCCAGTTCTTTCCACATTCACTGAAAGTAATATAAGTTTGAAAAAAGCAAGGAGGGATAGTACTTATATATCAGAAATCTCCAAGTTCACCCTTTGCATAAGGTCTCTACTCACTTCTGCCTGTGGCCATTTCTAAAACAGCTGTTACTATTTCTCCATCTGCCACTGATGCCAGGTCCACAAATAACCGTATTCTTGTACCATTGTCATTAAAAACATTGTGTTCCCATTTTGAGTTGCACTTTTTTTTAATGCCTTGATGCTATTGGAATTTTGAAAGTTGACTTGAGAGTACTCTGAGTCTCTAATGGGGGAGATCCCCACTAAACAGATAGGCAGCTCCCAACCTCACCCCCACCGTAGGTGGCCCCACCCTGAGGGAAAATTATACGATCCAAGAATCTTCTGTTGGCTAGCATATGGTTTGGCATGGTGTTAGATTAATTGAAATAATGCTGACCTATTTGAAATAATTTCTTTTCATGAATTTTAGAAGAAATAATCTGATTGTTGATTCTACTTATTCTTACAGATAGTAATTAAAAAATGGTCCATCCCTTGTCCTCTGACATTAAATTGTATAGAGCAGTACTTCCAGGTAATATTTTATATTTTCTTTTTATTTTCTTTCTTTTTATTTTAAGCTAAAAAGAAAAAAAATCAGGCTAATATCTTTTTTTTCCTAATAAATGGAAAAGTAATGACTAGTTTGCATTTTGGAACTTTATTTTGAAATGTTTTTATTTGAAAGCCTAGTTATAATAAATTCATCATGTTTGTTGATGCTTTCTGACTTTTAATGACTGTTGGTTTCTCTTTTTCCCCTCAATCCTCTTAAACAGATTTCAAATGCTACAGATGATTGTAAACCAAAGCTCTTTCATTTCTCCAAAGAGGTGTGTAAGTTATTAACAGATACTTTTGGTTGATTTTTCACATTTCAAGTTTTAAGAGATTTGTGGAACAGGGTCTCTTAGGTCTTTGTACCTGTAACTAATTAATTTTCATGAAAGTGCTAAGTATAGGGTTGCCTACCAGAAGAATAATATTATTTAACACAGGGTGGCCTATTATGAAACAGCCACCTTTTTTTGGCATGCCTTTAAATGGAGCCTGTTTTAAATGGGCAACTGCCTAAAAGAACAGATTTACTAAAAGTCTGGTCTGGCCAATAAGGTCCTCTGTGGATACAGACTTCCTGTTGCCCTCTGGACTTGTAAAGCTAAATAGCCAATTATATAAAAAACTCCTCCCTTGTGAGTAAAACCTTGGTCTGCAGCTAAACAGCCTCATCATTGGACCAGCAACTGAGCACTGCCAGTATGTCTTCTGGCAGACATTCCACAGTTGAAATTTATGATGCCTTTAGTGGAGACTGGAAAACCAGGTCCCCTTGCCTTCTCTGAGAGCCTCCTATACTGACAATGCCTGCAAGAGCCCTTGGCACCTACAGGGGAGACGGGTGATCTCTAGCATTGTGGAAGAGCTTAGTCTTCCCTGTGGCTATAAGTTGTTTTTTGTTGTTTTTTAATCTACACTTTTAGATTCTGCTGAAATGCAGGTTCCAGATGCTAAAAACCCTCCACTCATGTACAACTCTGTCAGTGCACTATTTCAGTGCAATAACTCCTCCATGCAGAACTTTCCCTTTTATCCGCAATTTTTACACGAGAAATGTCTCTCTGGCCCCCCAAGGGAGGTTACCACATCTTATGCGGTAAAGGCCCCTGTGTGCCTTAAAGATCTAGGTAGGGTAATTGACAAGCCAGGAAATTGAGCAATATATGAAAGAGAATTTGTGAATTAAAGTCTCATTCCCCTAATCCAGTCTCAGGAAACACTACAGCTTTCCTTCCTCTCAATTCCCTTCAAATATTTGAGGAGGCATTATGTCCCAAGATAGGTCTTCAGTCATCTGGAACTTCTTTTGCTGAAGAGCCTGAAGTTAGTAAGGGGAAAATTATTTTAGAGTAGAGAAAAGAAAGTAAATCATCACCATCATTTTGTAGAGACAGTATTTTCATTTAGTTGGTAACTTTTGTTTGCTTTATAATGACCTCTGGCTCTTAAATATTCTAATTTTTTTTAAAGTTATGTTTGTATATTCTAGTAGATCTCCAAAAATTTGCCTGTCTAGAATAAATCATGTTCATTCCCATTGAAAGAGAACATAGGCAAAGATGCTGAGGTGTGATTAATATTTGCAATATCCCCTTAGATTAGATTGGTGATATTACCTTGGATTGAGTTGGTAAAAGCAGGTTCAAAAGCATTAATGATTATTTCTGCTTACAGAAGAAAGTTGTATTTAAATTTTCTAATGCATACATTAGAATTAAGATTATTTCTAAAATGTTATTATTTTGAATCTTACCTAAATATTACTTATTTCACATAAGTTATTTTTATCTTACCCAAATGATACATGAGCAACAGCAGTTGTAGTAAAAGTAACATGGTATAGAAGCCAGCCAAGAAATATCTGGCTAGTACAGGCATTCCATCTACCAGAGAAAAGATTTGCTGATGACAATAATTGTGTCTCTCTTAAAACAAAACAAAACAAAACAAAAAAACACAATCTTATTTTATAGAGACAATTTATGAAGAATGAAGTGAATGTAACCAAATTGATTTTTTTTCCTAAGAACTAAGCTTATTGTCGAATGAAGTAGTGGTTTCAACAGAGTAGCATTTAGTAATTTTGTCCTTTTTTTCTTTTCAGAGTGCTTATGCGATACCAACCATGGCTTTTTCATTTCTCTGCCATACCTCAGTATTGCCCATATACTGTGAACTTCACAGGTACCATAGGATCCTGGATTCTTTTAAATGTATTAAATATGATCTTTTACTTCTAGGCCTTTCAGGTTGAATGACATTCTCCTTTATGAATTCTTTCCTCCCATCACTGGATTCTAAGTGTTAGTTTAAAACAAAATGAAACAACCGAGAGTCAGTTTGTCCAAACTGAGAATGTTTCCTGGAAGCATAATCTTTGTGCGGTAACTTTAAATCAGAATTCTAGTGTTTAATCACTAATGAACTAGGTCTTAAATGATTAAGGAACCCTTTTGTCCAGCTTGGGAGAGTGTTTCTATAGATATAAATCATTTCACTGATTCTACTTTTGCCATTTTTGTCTTTTAGCCCTTCAAAGAAAAGAATGCAGAATGTAACCAATACCGCAATTGCTTTAAGTTTCCTCATTTATTTTATATCGGCACTCTTTGGGTACCTCACTTTTTATGGTAAGTATATCATTTAATTGTAGGTGAAAAAATAGATTGTCCTCTCGTTCAGCGGTTGCCAACCGGTGGTCCGTGGACCACTGGTGGTCCATCAGGTCCAAAAGGTTGGTGACCGCTGCTCTAGTTGATCTCACACTTGAATCTGAACTTTGTTTCTGCCTTTCATTAGTAAGCTAATTTATTCAGGGTGCCAGAATTCACTGCAATACTGTGTGGCTCTACGGGCCTAAAGAATTGATTTTCTTTCTCTTATAAAGAATCAGGTTCAGGATTAATAATTTTATATGAAAATTTTCTTAAACACCTGAATAAAACCTCGGGATTAATGTCTTTTTACAAGAAAAAATGTACAACAATGATTTATTTAAAAAATATTTTAGAATCTTATTTTCGATACATTAGACTAGTTCAGCAGTTTGGGAGAATCAGCTATTTTAACTGCAGAAGAACAAATTGAGAAGGGAAAGGGTTTTATACTGAACTATAGTTGTATGCTTACATGTCAGACATTTCTGCCTTCAGCCTCAAGTCATATGACTCAAGACATTCATAATTTTTTAAAAGGATTCTTTTAAATTCATAAATTAAAATTAAATACTTCTTGTATTTATTTTTGAAAAAAATGCCTGCTTGGTATGTGTTTTTTTCTCTTCTGATGAGAACCTCAAGAAAAAGTAAAACTTCAAAGTCTAGAATAAGATCTTAAAATCTGTAAGCTCTCTAATTTGCAAACATGCTTCTTGTTTAATTTGCAAACAAACACATTATAACAAATTATACTTAGTTTGTCAGACACTTCAGTACACTTGTCAGTTTATGAATGCTTTTGTAACAACTCTCCAAGTAAATGACTGTTATTACTTTGGTGATAGTTAGCTGTTATGACTCTGATTTCACAGTTGATAGCCTTGTGCACATGCTTCAGGTTTTAGCCATCCATGATGACTTGTAATGGGCCTTTGCTTCTCTCTCAGAGTTTGTCCACATCTGACAAGATTTTGGAGAACATTTACTTGCATAGCTACCTTTCCTAAGCCTGGTGGAAAGAGTATGGATTTCTGAATCCAACAAATATTATCTAAATGACTACGCTGCTCTAACTAGCTATGTGGCCTTGAGCAGGGTACTTCATCTTACAGTATCTTATCTCCTAATCCCGTGGTCGGCAAACTGCGGCTCTCGAGCCACATGCGGCTCTTTGGCCCCTTGAGTGTGGCTCTTCCTAAGCCTTAGGAGTACCCTAATTAAGTTAATAACAATGTACCTACCTATATAGTTTAAGTTTAAAACATTTGGCTCTCAAAAGAAATTTCAATCGTTGTACTGTTGATATTTGGCTCTGTTGACTAATGAGTTTGCCGACCGCTGTCCTAATCTGTTACAAAGGATAGTTGCAAAGAGTGCCTATTACCGTGTCTGGCACACAACAGTCTTCCACAAAGGGAAGCGCCTGCTGATGGTGTGTTATTATCATTACTAGTGTAATTATTGCATATTTATAGGTGCTCTGTTTTTCAACATGGTACTTCTTACTGTCTTTAATGATATTTAATTTAAATATGGTAGCTTTTCAGTATATGTTGTGAGTATTATTTTGGATTTTCAGGGTGTGAGAAAATTATAATTGCTCTATATAGTCCTTTCTTTGCTATCTCTTTGTTATTTCAACAGTTGTAAAGGTCAGTCATTAATCTAAAGCTGCTCTTGCGTTTTTGTACTGATGTAGATAAGCACTATTTCCAGCTTGAGCATGGTACCCTGCTGTATACACCACAAATAAAGTTAAAACAGGCTGTTAAGCTTTTTGATCATTGCTAATGAAACAAAATTCTTGAAATACATAAGCTCTATTTTTGATGTGGTTTCTTGTATATATATATATATATATATATACATACACACATATATATATATATACACACACACACATATATATATATACATATATATATATATACACACATACTTACTAGAGGCCTGATGCACGAATCAGGCACCTGGGACCCAGGCTTCCCTTCCAACCGTCCGGAAGGTCATCTGGAAGGACGTCCGGTCTAATTAGCTTATTACGCTTTTATTATTATAGATATATTAATTGATTTTGGAGAGGTAGAGAGAGCTAGAGACATCAATGATGAGAGAGAATCATTGATTGGCCACCTCTGCATGCCCCCTACTGGGGATCAAGCCTGCAAACTGAGCACATGCCCTTGACTGGAATCAAACCTGGGACTCTTCAGTCCGCAGGCCGATACTGTATCTACTGAGCCAAACCAGCTAGGGCTGGTTTGTTAGTTTTTAAATATATTTTTATTGATTTCAGAGAGGAAGGGAGAGGGAGAGATAGAAACATTAATGATGAGAGAGAATCATTGATGGCTGTCTCCTGCACGCCCCCTACCGGGGATCGAGCTTACAACCCTGACATGTGCTCTTTGTCCAAAATCGAACCTGGGACCTTTCAGTCTGCAGGCCGAAGCTCTATCCACTGAGCAAAACCGACTAGGGCTTGTTTATTAGTTTTTATACAGACTTTAGCTCAGTAAGACTTTTTTTAACATAAGATATGATAGCAGGGTCTCTGTTGGGATTCAGCAAAAACAGTATATCAGAATAGTTGTATATTTTTCTAAATTAAAATTGAAACTTGGCACAAATACTATTATATTTAGGACTCTTCAACATTGAAAAGAAAGTCTAAAAAATGGACCTCCTTCTTCTCCCTATGGACAAATAGAGCTATTGGAAGAAACCTCAGATGGGCTACACATCTCTAGGATAGCTTGAGAAGTAATTACATAAATTACCATGAGATGCTTAGGAGCTGTATGATCATCATGTAAATGTAATGTTTACTACCCAGGGGTTTTCCTGATTATCAAGTAACACTGTTATGTTGTCTTGGACTTAATCCTTCTCCACCAATGCAGATTCTTCAGAGTATCCACATTTTATATTATGGAGAAATGCACATCTAAGAAAAATAACATGGTAGGTAGGTAGGTAGGTATGTAGATAGGTATATAGATAGGGGAAGGAAGGAAGGAAGGAAGGAAGGAAGGAAGGAAGGAAGGAAGGAAGGAAGGAAGGAAGTAGAAGACTGAGATAGAAAAAGACCAAAAAGTAGAAAGAGACAGAGGAAGGAGAGAAAGATGAAGAAGGGAAAGAGCAAGGAGGGAGGAAGATAAAAGATTTTAAATTGTGGTTCATAAAAAAGAGCTAGTCCTATATTTTAATATTGAATACATGCATTGCTCAAGCATTCTGCTAGAAATTATCGTGACAGGTCATTCCTGTGGCAGAGACTTTGGCTACACCATCCTTGCTGACCTGCTGTTGTGTACACACACACACACACACACACACACACACACACAATAATAAAAGAAAGAGAATTAAAGAAAAATAATTTTTCCAAAGACAGAGGAAAATTCAGATACTGATATGCTAGTCAGTGTTTCGTTAATCATAACCAGGGAAAATCTTGTATATTTCTATCTGGACAACAATAGCTCTCAGTCTTATGAAATTAAATTGCTAATAGAGTCTGAGGCCTTAATCAAAAGGGCTTATCACAAGTTAAGGCTTCAACTCATTTTATAGATGAGCATCTAAAGCCCAAAGAGGCGAAGTGACCTGTCACACGATTAGTGATTAGTGGCAGGCCTCCTGAATCCTAATCCCATGGTCTTTCCGCTGCTCTGTAGTGATCTTTAGAAACTTCATACCAGTTTGACAATGTGTATGAAACAGGACAGCCTCCTGACTTCAGTAGCATACACAACTCGCAGAGACCACCACCGGTTCTAACTGAGATTTGTAGAGATTTGTCTGAATCCAGAGAAGCTTGTCATGCTCTATTCCTTACATATGGTAAGGCTCAGCTAAGAACACAGAACTGACTGGCTCAGAAGGAAGGGCTTCATCCTCAGAAAGTAGAAAGTGGACATGTAACCGCTATTTTCAATATATAATAAATCTAGTTCTTCAGGCTTCTGGAGCTGCTTGGGGTTCTGTCACAGCGCTCCCCAGGCTTAGTTAATACTTAACTTTTGTCAGATTAAAGAGACCTATAAGTATATACCTAGATTACTAATATTGGCTCTGATTGCAGATGTTAAAGCATTTTAAGTTGAGGGGGAAAAGTGTTCCTTTGGTAAGCCAGGCCAATGCCCAAATGTTGCATAATAACCAGACCATGTAAAAAGTCTATGAGGTTGTTAAGCAATAAGTGTTAATAGCTCATTTTTATGATTCAGAAAGGGGGGGGGCAGTTTGCCGTATTTCTCCAAAACTCACAAGTATCTCACAGATTTGGGAGTAGAATTCAACTTTAATCTCCTACTTAGTCCATAGTTCCACACTGTGTAAAGTACATCTTTGATAATTTAGACAATTAGTTCCTCTCCCCTTTCCATTATCATTGGTCTAGTCCAGTCCTCATTACCTCTCAGTGATTATGACCGTTGCTTCTGTTTTCCCTGTTTCGGGTCTCATTTCTCCCAATCTGTCCTGCTTAGTTCAGATCAAAATACACTATTCTTCATAAGTCATGGCATCTCTGTTCTACCAGAGCGAGCCCTAACCCTTGAAGAAAGAGTTCCATTGCTGAGTCTTAAATGTGTCTCCAGCCTTACCACCCTCTGCTCTTGCACTGCGGCACCCTCTACGTCAGCCGCTGCGCTCCTCTGGAATCTCATTTTCTCAGCTGCCTATTCCCTCTGCTTCCTCAGGACTTCTGCTCTCTTTCCCACAACTTTGAGTGTCAGCACACATACATTGACTCATTTAATGCTGTAACTCTACAGGTGAATGTATCATTGTCTCCATTTTATAGGTGTAAGAACCAAGGGACTCAAAAGTTAATTTGCTATTAAGTAGTGGGACTTGAACATTAGTCTGTGTGGTCCCAGATTTCAAGCCCCCCTCTACCATCCTGCTGCCCACTATATCATGGTGACTCTCCCTAAGCCTTCCTGGATTTCTTTCTTGCTCATTCCAAGGCCATAGTTATGTTCTCTGTTTAGAATCACCATAGCTATTTGTTTGGACCTTCTTCTGTCACTTATGTGTGTATCTGTGCTTAGACACTATTATATATGTGCGTGTATTCACCTTATCTGCCCTTTAAATTTTAAGATCCTTGAAAACAGAGGTGTGTTTGATTTGTCTCTTATTTCCTCCAAAGCACCTTTCCAAAACGTATACGCTCAAATTTAAAAAGCACTATTCTTTCATAAGTACGTACAAATAAATCTGTCTTTCCCTACAAGGCAGTGATATGCAATGTTCTGAATACCCTCACTTGGGTACACCTTGTCTGTCTTGGGGTGTGGAAAACGTGGGAGTGGAAGAACACTATGGAGCAAGGCATGGTTAGCGTGTACAAATTCTGTCACTGACTACCACACTGGCTAGCTAAGTAAGCCAGTTCCCTAAAACTTGTATGAAAGATTATCTACAGATGAGATGTTGAGGAAACTGGTAAGATGCGCGCAACTCAGTGAGACTCTAGAAAAATTGCAGTATCGAGGAAAAGATATTGGCTTTGGTACAAAAAAAAAAGGTGTACAGCTGTGCTAGCTCTGCCCCAATGAGCTACCAATCTTATATTATTATCACACGGACCAAATTCAGTAGTATGTACACGTGAAAGCACTTTACAAAGCAAACAATATACATGTTCAAAACCTTCAGATTGTGGGAAACTTCTAATGAGATATTTTAATATATATTTTATTGTCATAATTTAAGTTCTGCCTGTGCTGATCTCTAGTGTCATTAAAAGAAGAGATCGTGGGCTTCAAGAAGATATTTAACTAATGTCTCTGTTTCATAGGAGAGAAAAGGGCCAGAGATGGGTTGGGGACTGGGAGTCCAAAATCTGTTAAGATTCCTTTGTGCAAAGGCAAACAATTTTGCTGTTATTGTCATCTTAGTAGTTTTTATTGTGATCCTTATTGTTATTTCTTTAAATTTACAGACAAAGTGGCGTCTGATATACTTGAAGATTATAGTAAATACTTGCCTCATGATGTTGTTGTGAGGACTGTGAAGTTATGCATACTGTTTGCTGTGCTTCTGACAGTCCCTCTAATCCACTTCCCTGTAAGTACCCTTAAAGGTTCTGCTGTCGGTGTAGCAGCTCCCTAATGTGGCAACACTAATTCTTTGCAGACTAGAATGTTTGAATCACATCTAGTCTTGTGTATCTTATTCATTTGTTAAGTAATTGATCAAAGACCTCATACTTGCGTATAACCCATGAATGCACAAAAATAACAGTGAGCCCCTAAGCTAATTTGTGCTTTTTGAGATTTAGTTTAGATTTATGCTTTCCCACAGCATTGTTTCCAATTTAGAGACTATAGTTCTTCTAAGGTTTTGGATGTGTTTTTTCCCCCCCTTTTTAATTCTGTATTCTGTTTTTTTCAAAAGAATGTGCATGAAGAGGAAAAAGTCAAGTCAGCAAAAATAAGCTCCTTCTGGTTTATTGTAAATCTATCTTCATGTAGACATTCTAGTTTAATCTAAGTCCAACTATTTTATTTGCTCTAGAATTATAGTTTAAGGGCAGAACAGATTTTCATTCTGCATTTAGTTGCCATACTTAAGAATCTTAAGAATTTTTGAGAAAATGGAAACAAAGGCTTTGGGTATAAATGCTTCTGCATGGAAGTCCCGAATTCCTGAACAGTGAGTTCCTTAAGACCTGGGCCTTCAGGAGTTCTGCCCCCTCCCTGTGCACACTGCAGGGCCAGGAGTGCAGCAGGGGCTGTGTAAACATTTGTGGACGTGACCGCCTGCTGCCTGCCTTAGCAGTGGGAAGTGTCATGAATTAGTTTTCATATTTACATGCTGTGAAACAGATAATATAAAATAAAATAGTAAATGGTGTTTCTTCCACATGGCATGATTTCTTTTCTCGTTTTAAACCTTTTGTTCTTCTGTTGAAATTAATGATTCTCTGAGATTTCATCACAGTGTTATTGTTGATACTTTTGAAAATTATGCAACTTAAAGAAATTGTATGTGAACATTTTTTCAAGAATTAAAGCAAAATAATTTTTATGAAGATCACACAGAAATATGTATTTCTTAGTTTGTGAATAATAAACACAATAATGGTTTGTGTTATATTTTTGAAAACTAGGTGGTGTTGGGGACAGGAATATCATGGTTACGGTACTGTACATGTGTTTGCCCAAGCGAGTATTTTGGCTTTCACACTTTCTCTTTGCTTAAATCTGTTTCTCTTTATGCTATACAGGCAAGGAAAGCTTTAATGATGATGTTTTTCTCCAATTTTCCATTCTCATGGATTCACCATTTTGTGACCACGCTAGCACTCAATATTATCATTGTTTTACTTGCAATATATGTTCCTGACATTAAGAATGTATTTGGTGTAGTTGGTAAGTTTTATATTTCAAAAAGATCCACATAATAGAATGGGTAAACTTGTTATCCAGCCTAACATCTGAGTCTGGCAATCATCCTCTCTTTTTCTCCTGCTTAAAGGTTCCAGCACATCCACATGTTTGATTTTTGTATTCCCAGGACTATTTTATCTTAAACTTAGCAGAGAGGATTTCCTCTCATGGAAAAAGCTTGGGGTAGGTTGATTTTTGTTTTGTTTCTTTTAAGAATCCTATTTTAAGAAATAATTTGTCATTTTCTAATTATTTTATCTACATAAAAAATAATGTATTTTGAGTGATAACATACATTATTGGAAAGGGTGGAGATTTAAAAAAATACCCTAATTGTTTTTATCTTTTTTCTTATTTCCACAGGCCTTTGTTTTGCTCATCTTTGGAATTTTGGTTGGGACTTTTAGTTTAGCCCTCATCATTTTTAATTGGATTAATAACAAATGAAAGATATCTTTTCCCATTTCTTGTGAAGAATAATTTACCTCCATATGCAAAAAAACAAACAACCCAATTCTGGAAGGTACCTTAGATGAATGCTCTCTATATGGGTTAACATTTCTGTAAACATTATTAACTCAAAAGTGGAACAACATGGGAGTGGGCAAGGGAAAGTGGACTCATAGCAGTTTTAATCAAAATAAGAAACAAACTCAGAATACTCTTAAATGTATTAGGTCAATCTTTTCTTTGTCTATTTGTGGGTCTGTTGCTTTTTTTAGATTAATAGACTTAGTTTTTTAGGGTAGTTTTAATTTTCACGAATGTTGAGCAGAAAGTAGATTCCCATATGTGGCTTCACCCCCAAAACATCCATAGTTTCCCATATTATTAACATCTTGAATTAGTGTAGTATATTTATTATACTTGTTGAGCCAAATATTATTATTAATTAAAGTCCATAGTTCACATTGGGGTTCACTCTTGATGTAAGCATTGGCAATCACTAATCATTTTACTACCTTCGTAAAAACTCTGAGCCTTTTCTAGCATGTCCTATAGTTGGAATGAAAAATAGTATCTAACCTTTCAGACTGGCTTCTTTCACTAAGCAATATGCAATTAAGTTGTCTATATGTCTTGTCATGGCTTGGTAGCTCATTTATTGGATGTACCACAGTTTTGTTTTCCATTCACCTATTGAAGGACCTCTTGGTTGCTTCCAAATTTTGGCAGTTTTGAATAAAACTGTGCAGGTTTTTGTGTGGACATAAATTTTCAGCTTATTTGAGTTAATACCAAAGGACACAATTGCCACATCATGTGGTAAGAATATGTTTAGTCCTGTAAGAAATTGCCAAACTGCCTTCCAAAGTGGCTGTAACATTTTTCATTCCCACCAGCAGTGATTGATAATTCCTGTTATTCTACATCCTCACCAGCATTTGGTGTTGACAGTATTTTGTATTTTTACCATTCTAATGGGTGTGTAGTTGTACCTCCATTGTTTTAATTTGTATTTCCCTAATGACATACGATGTTGATCATCTTTTTCATGTGCTTATTTGTCATCTGTGTATTTTCTTTGTTAAGGTTCAGATCTTATGCCTGTTTTTAAAATTAGGTTGTTTTCTCATTGTTGAGTTTTAAGCATTTGTATATTTTAGATACCGGTTCTTTATCAGATATGTGTTTTGCAAAGATTTTCTCCCAGTCTGTTTCTCTTTTCATTCTCTTTAACAGTGTAATTCACAGAGCAGAAGTGTTTAATGTTATTAAATATATTAAGTCAATCTTTTGTTTATTTTTTAAAGAAATCAATGTGTTAAGCTTATATACAAAATTGAATCTTAGCTTGTGGGCTAATGTTGTCAACGTCAATCACCAACAAAACTGTGGGATTATTCCATTTGGTACTTTGCCCTGACTCCAAATCCTCTCCGAGAAACTTTTGTGATTTTTCTCTGTTGTGCATTATGAGACGAATTGTGATGCTTGGCTGTAGACTTGAAAGTTCTCTGAGCTTTCTTGTTTGTCACTAAAACATGTGACTTTCTACTTGGCAATATGACAAATATTGATGCTTTATGTCATATTTTGTTTGGAGGTTATAAATCATTCCAGTCTTCCCAGTGATGTGGCTTGTTTCTGGTTGGGAACCAGAAGCTGGGTCTCTCCTCCCCGTGAATATTCTATGTAAAGGGCACCTTAGCAGCCTACCAAAGCCAGGGTGTATCCGTGAAAATGTAACCCCATCCCTGTGCACATGTAAAGTAGGGAATTACATGCAAAATGCCAGTTTGCATGTATGGAAATCCACACTTTTGCAGGTGCCTCTTGCTTCCCACTTAGGAAATTGGCTGAAAAATTGACAACTGAGCTTTTCTTTTGAGTTAAGATACTTCTTTGGCAAATCTGAGATCTGCATGGTCTAATGGAAGAAGTCCAAGTTTGGGGGTTAGAAAGACTTAGATTCAAATCTCAGTGAGTTTAGGGAAACTACTTAACCTCTCTAAGCCTCCACTTTCACATAGGTATTAGATGGAGTTAATACCAATTATACAGGGTTGTGCTGAGAGGATTAAGTGACCTTGTATAAATTAGGTACAGTTTGAAACAGGCTCCCTTCATAGATTAGCTATTTATCCCCTTTCTTCCATCCCTTTATCTGGAGCAATAAAATAAATTTGCTTTCAATCAGGGACATGGAATTTCTTCATCTTGCATCTTGCACAACTGTAGTGCTTTCCCACAGTTCTACCCCAGCTGGACTCCTACTGATGCCTTCCTGAAACTGGGCACTGAGCCTGGTCCCAGAGGCACCGCCGAGCATGGCCTTCCATGTGGCTTCGGGTCAGCCAGAGTCTATCAACCTGATAAGCTCATTCTTGTACCCTCTTTTTCTGTTTATGAAATTATAGATCCAAATACAAATAGGGGTTCAGCTGCTTAAATAAATCTAACTGCAGTAATACCAAAATAACCCTAAGTCTGCAACAGATGCAAGGATGCCCCCTGGGGCAAATGTTAAGTGTGATGACAGCTGGGCATCAATTATTACATTTGTCACCCGCTCATGGGATAGGATCATGGGAGGTTTGGCAAAGGGACAAGTAACCTATTGAACACTCTTGCACAAAACTCTGTTAATATCAAGAGAAATTATTTGTGGAGGTGTTTTTATTTTACGTTAATATTCTGCCTTATCTAGTTGCCTGTTTAGAGTCACAGCTTTCCCTATGAGTTTGGAAGAAGCTAATAAGATGGCTGGTATGAGCAGTGCCCCCTTCACCGGCATTACCCAAAAACCTTCAAGTACTCCTCAGCGTTTTTCCTGCGAAATATAGGCCTTCTCATTATGGGCTTAATGTTCATAATTTATTAGGTAATAACTATTTAAAATAAAACGAAGTTAAGCACAAAATGTATACTTCTCCAACACTTGGAGACTTGTTTGCTAAATTAAAAGACGAAGTGCTGAGAATATAAAATTACTTTCATATGTTGAGCGTGAATGTTTAAATTGTACTTTTTTTAACGGAATGTTTACTCATGAGCTTAGCATTTAAATGGTTAAAACAAGCCTTTGAAGTTAACACTCCATTAAGATGAATGGGGGTAATTCACACCTCTGCTGGTGCTGTATTATTTCAGTCTGGCTGCGGAGAAAACAAGACAGCAGTGGGTTGATTTACTGTGTGAAGGCCCTTTAAACACCCAAGGTCTGGAAATCTTTGTTGTTGTTTTTTTTCTTTTTCACCTAGAAGCAGAATCTGAAATTCAGCACAATTTAGGTATAGAATTGAAGTCTTGAAAGTACCATAGATTCTCTGTTATCTGCAAGTTCCTACCTGGCTTTATTTGTTCCTGTACTCTAGTGTTTCTTCCTACCATGGCACCGTTTATATTAAAGTTCCACTAGTAATTCACCAGTGGAAAAGCAGAAAGGAACCATCCATTTTCGGGTAAACTTTGCACATGCCTTTAAATGGTTTATGAAATAATCCTCGCATTATCATCTTCGAAACTCTCCAAGTTCTGCCTTTGCCTGACATAAGGTTTGCATCTTTAACAGCTATTTTCTTCCCCATTTGGGGGTATGGCATGTGGTTGAAGTGAGTTATGAAATAATCCTCGCATTATCATCTTCGAAACTCTCAAGTTCTGCCTTTGCCTAACATAAGGTATGCATCTTTAACAGCTATTTTCTCCCCCATTTGGGGGTATGGCATGTGGTTGAAGTGAGCAGGGATCCAATGGGAGGAGGCGTTTGTCAGTGTGTTCTCTGTGGTAGTAATGTTGTATATTTGAAATGTGCATTCCCCCCATTGATGGAAGTCTTCTAGCCAATCGATTCTGAAATAATTAGTTTTAGAGGCTAAGAATAAGGCTGTATGAGCATTTTATGAGCAATGCCCCCTTCACCATGTCAATGAATTTGGAAGATCTTTTTAACGTAAACAGATTTTTCTTGTGTCCAGTCTCTGCCCGTTTATTTGCAGGATCAAGTTGCTAGATAATCTGTGGGCAGCTGGGTGTGGACAGTATTTCCATTTGGGCTGCCTCTCATGTTGCCATTGCCAGTACAGTATATAGAAATGGAAAGTAGATGCTAGAAACACAAGGGCCCAACCAATTCATCTAAACCTGTATTGGGCTGTGTTAGAACTAGCCCAATTGAAAACAGTTTGTTTCCTGCAAATTACTCTGCCTAAATTTCAGGTGTCATAATTTTTGGTCTTAGAACTTCTCAGAACCTTCTGTAGTAAAATTTGTTTTTCTAATTTAAACACAAAATTTATCCTTTTTTCTCCTGTCGTAATCCTTTGATAGTCTCTCTGTATGAAGTAGGAAATTTAAGAAAACAAAATTTTGATAAAAGATAAATAAAGATATTGTGGGGGTGTTTTCCTCATTGCGATCAGAACTCTTTCTGTCTCTCACCCTTCCTAAACAATCTGATAAATGTCCTACTGTCATCATGATCCACTGACCTAGTTTGCCAGGCTGTCAATTAAGGTGAGCAATTATGAGGTGCAGGAAGACTCATCTTGGCTGACGGCCAGGTGGACAGGTGGGAATGAGAGGTTCATTCACCTGTAGCACAAAGTAAATGGGTGCAAAGGGAAATGGAGTTGCCAGGAAAACCCCCCACACAAAACAGATGGATTAAAAGACATTCTAATATGGGATGGGGCCTAGGCACCGATACATATTTTTAAAGTTTCCCAGATGACTGTAATGGGCAACCACTGGATTGCTACATCAGCCTTCTCACAGATGTCTGCCTTCCAGTCCATTTTGTCTGTTGCTGTCCACTTGGAATCCTGCTTTCATAGGATGACATTCCTGCTCAAGAGCCTCAGGTGGCTCCCTACTTCTTTGAAGGTTTGGTCTTTTGTTGTTAATTTTATGTCACATCACACAACTGGGCTTAATTCCACATTCCCCTGTCTCATCTACTAACCTGTATTTTATCCTTTTCTTGCCTACATTCTACAATACACTGAAATTGTTTC